TAAAACCATCGCGTGTCCGCTTGTTTATTTTCCACATAAACCTGTCACAATAAAGCTCAAGATCCTGTTTACACTTTTCAAAATAAACTGAATCACGTGAAAGAGTATGCAGTGTTTACGGATGAGAAGCAAAAAAAAGCTGCCAGGTGCTAATAAATAAACCTTAGACTCAAACGTTAGAACAGGCTTTTCCCCGCAGCACGCCGTGTAATAAATACTCACATAGAAAACAGAGGCCGTTTACAGCTTATGTCTAAAAATGTATAGTTTCATGCATCGGTTAAAACACTCGACTCCAGCTACATGACGCTCAGCTGGAAACACTTTACACAAGTCGAGCTGCCCGAGATTCACAGAATTTTCAGAAAATGTAAAATTTTTGTGATTTTATATCGTTATCCGGACGATAGATGTCTTATATCGGGATATGAGATTTTGGTCATATCACACAGCCCTAGTATAGCATTTTAGCTAATTATACCTGCTTATTTTATGTATAGTAGTTGACTGGCTATAACTTCAAAAGAACAAAAGGCTGCTTTTTCATGACTGATCAACTGGTCTTTATAGATGTTGACATTTGAAATATTTCTGTTGTTGCTGTTTCATGTAATACTAAAGGTTTCCCTGAAATTAAAAAGTCAAAAATAGCAGCAACAACCAACTCACGAAGCTAATGTCAGGCATTAGCGACAGGTAAAATTTTCATTCCAGCCAGCAAAATGTCATCAAGTATGCCTGCTTTTGTTTTTAAAGGGCCAGTTACTTCAAAAGTGCTACGAACATGGCAGCTCTGACATCCACACTGAGCTAACTGAACCTGAAAATCCCAATTTGTTTTCTTTTGTCAAACATGCACCATTTCTTATGACTGCTTACAGTTTGTTCTTCCCATTCATCATTTCTTGACTACTTTGCTGTGCTTAAGGAAAGGTTGCGTCTACTAGACAACAACGGTGAGCTCCAAGAGGAAGGGACATAAGAGAAAGCTAAAAACATATAAGGAAGAGGTATAGAACGAAGTGAAATAGGAAAGAAGGAAAGACAGAGACTCATAAATCAAGTAGAGGTGAGATTGCTGAATCAGGGTTGATTGTGCCTGGGAGAGACAATAAAGCCTGTAATCATCTGTCTCTGCTGCACAGAACTGGCAATTATCTGCCCATACCTGACCGCCAGAACAGAAAGGGCAAGATCCATCTACCTTCACCCTATCACCCTATAGAGCTCCAGCTTTTAAGGGGAAATTCATGTACTGACGCAAGCTGAAAGCAAAGAAGAAGAAAAAAAGAAACTCCAGGAGTGCTATTGATATTGAGAAGAAGTGTTGCTGGGATAGTCTTTTTTCATGTATGAAATGTAGTGGGTTGAATCAAAGTAGCTGTTTGGATCTTTCATCTCGTTCCATCCACACACATATTAACACACACGCACACGCATAATGTATCCTGTCAATATATTACCTCAGATAAGAGGAGAGTAGCCACTCATTAGGCTGGTATAACACTGCCTACGGAGGCTCCATTTGCTTCCAGTGCAGTTCCTTCATCATAACGTCTGCTTTCAAACAGCTGTCTGATATTGGCATTTAGGGTACAAATTTCCCTCCATTTCCCTCCAATACATCTGAGCCCGAAGCATATGGACCATCACTCTCCGGCTGAAAGCACTGCACTGAGGCCTAAAAGCATTTTTTGCCAGTCCAATAACAGAGCCAAATGAATAGTGTGGCTGTAATTAATCTTTTCTATTGACTGAATAAAACCTCTTGGTGGAACTCAGCTATGTGATTTTCCCCCCTCTGTAGCGCTGTGTGTTTTTCATCCCTAATAGAAGAGTTTGGAGAATAATTGCAAAGTTGCTTCCAGTATTATGAATGATCAATGCTTTTATAAAACACAAATTAAAAGGCAAAAAAGGCACTCAAGAAACTAATACATCGAAGCAGGTGCTTTGTGGCAAACATGAGCCTGAAGCAGAGCAGAGGGTCAGCTGTGATTTCTGCTTGTTTGTTCATTTCGCTGCTTGCATACTGCAAAGTCAGAAATCTGTCACAGCCACCTGCATGCAGGGACATAATTTAGACTTTTTAATAATTAATTACAATCCTCAGACAAAAATTAAAAAAGAGAGACCCAGAGCCCTGTGACAGATTAAGGTGTTGAACATGCTACTTCTATCCTCCGAAGGAGGACATCTTAAGCTCATTTAATAATAATAATAATAATAATAATAATAATAATAATAATAATACTAAGTAATTATAAAAAAAAATAATAAATTGATGTGATGCTGACCTATAGTGTCACAATATAATCAGCAAGCCGTCGGCTAAAAGCGACTAACTGCTCACCATACCTCCCACTCACATGAGTCAGCTGTAAGTCAGAGCATGAGAACTACAAGGTTAGTACGTGAGCAGAACTTTAAATAGTTTCCTGAAACCGAGAGATAGATTCAAGTTTGAAAAGTTAAGTAAAAAACTTTGAAATTAAAGTACTTACAATGTAAAGAAACATTGTGAAAGCACAATGTTTCTTTACATTGTGCTTTCAAGGAGCCAGACTTTCCTGTACTGTTTTAAAGGGGTCTTGAACAATAGTACAATAGTTCTTCAGACTTTCTGAAGATCTTTCAGAGTTTTCTCAGGATACTCTAGGCCTTGTACCTGACCATTTCCAGAGATGTGTTTTAAATATTTTTTTTTAACTGTGACCTATGAGTCCTTCAAACATAAAAGAGGCATCTAACGCAAGGGATGAACCTGTGTTTTGTCCAAACATAAAAGAAAACTTGTATCTTTAGAAGAACTGCCAGACCTATAAATACTATCTACACCAGATAAACAATATCTGCAAGTCGTATCCTTTACAAACAGGAAAGAAATCCAGGACCTGACACAGGACTTGAGAAATGCATCTAGGTTGTCACTGGATCCATCTAATGTTCACCTAAGCCTTAAAAATGGTCTCAGTGGAGGGTGGTTGTCAATAAACCATTCCTAAGGGAAGGAAACAGGGATAAAAGACTGACATTTGCCAAATTACACAAGAACTGGACTGAACATCCATGGCAAGAGGTCTGATGAATCCAAATCTGATGTTTTCAGTTAAAATCCTCATCAATATGTATGGAGCAGGTCAGGAGAGAGCTACAACCGTGAGTTTACAGAAATCTGCAAAACATGGTGGAGGCTCCGTCATGCTTTGAAAATGCAGAGAGTTGTCTGTCAGCTCTCTTTTGCTCCAGAGAGGTAAAAAAATCATGCACCCTTGAAGACCATTTCCTCAGTCACTCCTCGTGGTTTAGCCAGCAGTCAGTGTCCATATTGCCAAGGGAGCTGCACTACCTGATAAGCAGAGGTAGAGGTTCTCTGACACATCTGTCTGCTTGATGAGCCAAGTGTCAAAGCCCCCCAAAGTGCTGGATGGAGTGCATCAATAAACGACTTTAATCCCCTCCTGGGGCCAATGTCCTCCCCCTAATAAGGGATCGTCTTACACCACTGGCAGAAAGGAGAGAGGTAAAAGTGACTTGGCAGGGGCTTCAGCACGGGGATGTACTGTACACTGGGAATTGTCTGTACACAGGTAAAAGGCTGTAAATCAAACGCGCCTGCTGTTGCCTTAATTGCAGGACGGAATTGGTGTTTTGTTTCCTCCTCCTCCTTATTTTCCCTCGCTCCTTTGCCCTCTATCGCCCTTTTTCACTCTTTAGTCTATATGTCTGTTTGTTATCACTCTCGTCCTATAACACCGCCTCTGTTTTTATTTTCTCTTTTTTATCTCAGGCTATTTTGCCCACCTCCGCTATGTATCCCACTCTGCCCCAGACGGTCTAACTTGCCAGACAGAAGCGGAAAAGCAGAAGGATGGGGGACGGGCAGTATTGGTTGTGCTGAAGGACGAGTGGGTTGCTAGCATCCGCAGGGAAGATCCAATGAGTGTCCTAGTCAGAGTGACCCTAATTAACCACATATTATCTGCAGGCTGTGTGGAGGATTAAGGCCCTCAGCTCTAGACCCTACAGGCCTGGAGACCCATAGACAGAGACTCTCTGCTAAAGCACACTTCATATTCTGCCTCAAAGCAAGACAGAGAGAGAGGTGGGGGCGTGAGGCAGGACCATGAAAAAATAGAACCAAAGAAAAGCAGAAATCTTGCTGAAGGGAAGACAGGTGGCTTGAAGCACATCTGTGGGTCAGGACCTTTCTATAATGAGCAAATAAACAAGACAAATAAAAAAAAAAGTGCAGGAGGAATATGTAGTGACTATTACTGACACCTTCACAAAGAGGAAGACATAATTTGGCTTTGTCTGTCATATCCCGAACATATCCATTCCCCCCTCTGCCCAGGTGGTGTTTGAATAAATTGAAGTTTTTGTAGGAGGAGGGGATCATTATTCTGCGGAGAGATAATGAGCTCATTTTCTCACCTGACATTAAAAATCCCAGAAATGAACACTTGGCTACATTGACAGGTTGTCATATACACGGCGTCAACAAGGCAATGCAATCTGGGAACTACAGAGAACCCTCATTGACACAAACAATAAGCAGCCCCCACAGGCAGGCAGAGACTCTGATTTCTGTAGAAAACATTTTAGTAGCAGCTGTGACATACCTCATTTCAGATGAAAGACGAGCCAATATCAACAACAAGATTAAACAGGAGATTAACTGACACCAAGCAGCCAACTGTTTGAAGAATCCAAAGGTTATAGCTCATAGAGCATGCCGTCTCTTAAAGCATAATAGTTATTACCAGTGTTATGAGCTGCTGGTGAATTTATTTCACATTTACATAACAGCCAAACCACTGTATAAAATAGTGCAGTGTTAACAGTTCAAGCATTTACAGGGCTTTCATGAAGCATTACAGGGTAAATCTATCCCTTACTAACCCTGCTGTTCGTCTGCCATTCTGAGTCACTGCAACATGTTTCCGTGATGTAATTCCGGCTCTAAGTCCCGAGTAGAGGCTTGCGCTGTCACCTACCTCGGTCGGTGTCGTAGAGGTAGACGAACTTCTGCCATTTGTAGTGAGAGAGGAGGCTGAGGACAGCACCCCGGAGGGCAGGTCGCATCTGGATGACAAACTGCACCTCATTATCGGTGGGGTAACTGGGTGTGACAAAGGAGGTGTGCAAAGCGCCGCAGAACGAGGTCAAGGTGTTCATGGACTTCTTGTCGTAGAATCCGAAGATGGCGTACACCCCGCGGGAGAACTGAGAGCAAACTGCAGGGACAGCAAAGTACATGAAGGACACGAGTTAAAAAAAACCATGATCATTCTCCGCAAGAACACTTTATTTTGGATACTTGACCCCTCAATAATATCCAATCGAGGGTTCGTATGACTCTAAAGGAAGCTCAGCGCACTTGCTAAATTGTTAACAACATAAATAGCTTAAGAGTCAGAATCTTAATGTTGTTGTCTTTGGTTTTTTTTTTACGATGTAGCTTCAAAAAATACATTGATTTCTCAATTTCTTTCAAATCATTATTAAGCGTCGTTAAACTCAAATTAAAAAAAAATTAAATCAAACTTTCTTTGTCTTTTGTCCCAGCATTGTTGAGATTTTAAAAATAAGCAATACAACGTCTGCAACGTTCTCATATCTTATAGAATGAACAATCAAATATATCGACACGGCTAATTCAGAGTAGGTTTGGAGAGAACTCAATAGTGTACCGATTGTGAGTTACAAACTGGGGAACTTGAATTTTCTGAACAGTAAAAGCCGGCCAATAAAAGACCCTCAAAGCCTTTGTGGCTAAAATTATTACCCATTATTTTATAAGCTGTTTCGAGTCCTCTGGCTTTAGATTAACCCCTTAATTTTGAAAACAATCTAGAAAGGAATCAATATAAAACAATTCCTAGCGTTGCCTCCCCAAAATGCTTTCACATTTCTTGTAAACCTGGTATGCAACCCTGTCTTACCACTAGTTCCTTCCTTGAGGTTCTTGCAACAGTTATTAAAAGCAATTTTTAAGAAAGTAACCTATGACTGTGTGCACACGGAGCGTTTGTTGTGCTTTATATTTGTTCCATCAGTAATGGCAGATGGAGAAAGATTTGGTAGCTCCAGTTTCTCCAGTCAGTACGTCAAAGTACTTTGATAAGATGCTGAACCCCAAACTGCCCCTGTTCCAGTGATAGGTAAAAGCATTTTTAATTTGAATGCTGATTTGTCTATTTCAAGTCTCACCCTGAAGTAGTGATACAAAAAAGGGGACTTAAAAAAATCTTCCTGTGAATACTTATGTACGGAGGCTGCAGTTGATCTGTATTGAGCCTTTACATGTTTTCCTGTGGCTTAAGGGGTAACGTTCACTAAGTATGGAGACAGCATTCTATCTGAAGGGGAACAGATCCAGTGGTAGTGGTTCAGAAATGCAAGAATTGCAGCATTTCTGTGTGTCTGCGTGGCAGTCAAGTGATAGAAACATCACGCCATTCACTCAAGGTCTCCCGCACCCACTAGGAGCTCCCACCAGTTATCGCTTTGCTCCCTCTTCCACGGTGAACGACTTACTGCAGCATTCACAGCAGCTGTGTGCACCGCTGCTGCCTGTCGTCGCTTCTGTTGCCTCCCACGGAAGAGCTGAAAAAGACAACTCTTTGTGCCTCGAGTGCCAAGTGAATCTAGTTTCATTTTCAGTGACCTTACACACATGTTTGTGCTTCAACAACTCCACACAGTGTTTGCTATTCTCCAATGTGCGCTGCATGATGAGAAGTATTGGGTCACACCTCTTGGTGTTTTCAGGCCCATTTCCACAGTGTATAAAGTGAACGCCAAGCCATGTGGTTTGTCTTTACAAATATTTGTGAAAGAATGGGTCGCTTTAAAGAGGTCACCGAATTCGAGCCATGGATGGGGTGGATCAAGTGATATATCTCAGTCACAAAGTAGGAGACCACATAATGTTACAGAGCTGAGGTGCATAGTGTCCCAAACCTCCTCTGGCATTAACATCAGCACAAAAACCGTACGCCAAGAGCTTGGTAGTATGCGTTTCAATGGCCAGTCAACTCCTGTACAGTAGGTGTGATGTGGCCCAGGACTTTTGTCTCTTAGTGTCACAGTGCTTCAGTTACATATCTAATGTGAACAGAGTCAAAACAAAAAGACGAAACAGTTTTAAGACGTGCAAATGAGGATCACATTTCAATAGACTGACCCAGAAGGTCAGCTTCTGAGGGAAAAAAACAACCACTTTAACTAGCTGCACAAAAAAGACCCTGTTTTATAAGACTGCTATCTAAGGAGACCAAAGGTGGAACTTAAAGAAAATAAACAGTTACACAATCATTTTCACTCCAACATCTCAGTAGCACCAGTAGCATTTTTGATCAGCAACATTTCTTGAGAGACGTTTTGATTTGTTTGTGTATTCATCGCGCACTCTGGCGGGATTGGCGTAAATTGTTAGGCAGGGGCAACTTCCATTCACTCAGAAGCCATTAATGTGTAAACTAATATTTAGAGCTACAGGTGTGTTTTGCTTTCCTACCCTATCATGAATGACTGTTCACTTATTCTGATTGACTCTCAAGCGTTCCCGCTGGGTAATCAAGCATTCTTAACATCTGTAAACACTTTGAATATTCCAGAGGATGATGGGAAGGAAAAGGACGGGGAGGAAAGCTCTAGCCAATCTTATGTAATGGCTATGTTAAAAATGTATTTTTGATTGGCTAATGGACAAAAAAATATAAGTCATATGATGGGGAAACATCAGGTATCGCTTTGGCTCTTGCTCACTTCTTTAAATAATCTCTGGTAGTATTCTTTAAACTGAAAACAAAACAGAAATCCATCACCAAAGTGACAGTTGGCATTTTGTGTGTCCATCTTAATCAAGGAGAAGATGCAGTCACAAACACAAAATAAGTTGTTTTCCTTTTCTTGTGCCCGCAAGGACTCATCTGACTTTGTAAAGAACTGTGCTACAGCATGCACAAACCTTTCTGATGCTCAGAGGACAACACAACAGTGCTTATGTATTTGACTCTTTAGCACAATTGCTGTGTGAATAAGAGATCTGCTGGGATTTTCCTCATCCTCTTTAATTCTGTTCCCTCCCCTATCTGTCCTGGTACAGACACCTCGTTCAAGGTATAAGCAGTGTCAGTCTCACACACACCACAGGCAGGCACGTGCACGGATGCAGAGGCGCAAGCACGTACGCACACAGCCGCGACGCAGCTCCTTGATAAGTGAATCAACAGATGGACAGCAGTATTGTGGGTAAGTGCTGCTGGGTAAGTGGTGCAATCTCCCACAATGAATGGGAGCCAGTAGGAGTTCCAGCTCTCGTCGAGGCCCACTTTTCTCTGCACTCCCTCTTAATTTGGCCCGGTACTGACACAGAACCTATCCTACGGGACCAGATCTGGCAGCCTCTTTCTCTCTGCTCAGCTGTCCTCTTCTTATTAGGTTGAGCTTGAGCAAGCCTAAGTTTCAATAACATGTATGTCCATGCAATCCCTTCTCGCTCTGCTCACACTGGTCTTTTTTGCTCTCATCTTCTTCCACGGTTTGTCCCCTCACAGAAGTGCAAAGCTCTGTGTTGCGTTGATCCCATGAGGGTAGGTTCTGCTAAAAACTGATATACTGCTTTTTTGGGGGGAGACATGCACCAGTTACGCACACTGCAACAGATCTGCCAGCATCCTCAAACTCCACCCCTTAGATATAATTCACAGTGAACTCTTCTGCTTCAAGAGCTCCACACTCTTTTCCTCAGTCTCTCCGTACTGTCCACCTCCGGAGTCATGTTGCGTTCCAGATACCTCAGAAGTCTGATGTCGGAACAGGATTTGTTTTGGCCTTTAGCATGGTGGAGCCATTATTACTAACAGTATGGGCCAACTAAAGATGGTACCTTAAGGCTTAGAGGTGTCCACAGTGTGTCCTCTCTCCATCCCATCACTACCAGCTGCTCACTACAGTTTTTCCTTCCTACTTTTACCAAGTGGATCCTTATAGGGGTCATTGTTGGGCATTTTCTCTGTACTATTGTGGGGTCTTTATCTTACAATAAAGTGCCTTGAGGTGACTGTTGTTGTGATTTAGCACTGTGTAAATAAAATTGAATTGTTCATGTAGTATAGCCTGAAGATGAGCTGCAACCCCTTAAAGGATGATTCTGGAAAAGAAACATCATCTCATCAAAAAATTATCCCTTTTTTCCCCAATTTTTACAATCTGCTGTGAGAAAATAGCAACGAGCAACTTGCTTTTTAACTCGGTGCAGAAGGATGAAAAAACAAAGTCGTGTTTGCTCTTATCATCAACAGCAGGGAACTCACAAAAGGGATGAGTAAGTGTTTTTTTTTCTTAAATCAAGGCACCGGCTTTTGTGCGATATTGTAACTTTCTTTTTGTTTTACATTTCGTTGTTGAAAGCGGAACCAATTTCCTACATCGCTACTTTGCCAATAACTTTAATTAATTTAATTCGCATGCATTTTTTAATAATACTAATATTTTAAGAGTGAATAACAAGACAGTGGAGCAGCAGAGCACATACAGCACATTGGGATTTTTGTTTGCAGCAGCCAGAGAGCAATCAGTAGAAACACAGATCAAGCTGGTTCTTTGCAGTGAAAGGGAAATTCATTTGGACAAACTTGTGGGAATCTCTTGCTGTCTCAACACAAAGAACTTGTTGCATCAGTATTTCTTAACCTTCTAGTATCAAGATGCCCCTCGTGTGTGATTCTGAAGAGACAAACTCAAATCCGAGTAGTGTCATACACCTCTCCATACGGCACTTCTCTCCACGTCCTTCACTGTCTAACTCCGCTCTCTTGTCCTCCGTCCTCGCCACCTTATTTGACCTCTTCTTTTGTTGCCTGTGTTTTTTCTTTCGCCCCAGCCATCTGGTCATCCCCCAAAGCACACATCTTCTTCAAGCATGGCAGGATCTCTTTCCACCTGAGCGCCTCCCTCTTTCCACACTCGAATTGTTCCCTCCCCATATTATTGCCCCCAGTCCATCAGTGGACCGAAGATTGGTGTTGGGGAAAGGAGAAAAAAAAAAAAAACATGGTACAGTCAGGGGACAGGGCTACTGTGGAGAAATGTCCTGCCCTCAGCTTTATGTCTCTGTAATTAAATAAACGTGATAGAAATGTTTTGCTCCGCTTGGAAATAAGCGGCCTGTCTCCAACTCTGAAGAAATAACACATCAGATAATAAGATTCAGTGGTTCTGTGTCACC